GAGGTACAAGGAGGAGCTGGTACCATTCCTTCTGAAACTATTCCAATCAATAGAAAAAGAGGAATCCTCCCTAACTCATTTTATGAGGCCAACATCATCCTGATGCCAAAGCCTGGCAGAACACAACAAAAAAGAAATTTTAGACCAATGTCCCTGATGAACATCGATGCAAAATCCTCAATAAAATACTGGCAAACCGGATTCAGCAGCACATCAAAAGCTTATCCACCATGATCAAGTGGGCTTCATCCCTGGGATGCAAGGCTGGTTAAACATTCGCAAATCAATAAACATAATCCAGCATATAAACAGAACCAAAGACAAGAACCACATCATTATCTCAATAGATGCAGAAAAAGGCTTTTGACAAAATTCAACAGCCCTTCATGCTAAACGCTCGTGGTGGTATTGATGGAACGTACCTCAAAATCATAAGAGCTGTTTATGACAAACCCACAGCCAATATCATACTGAATGGGCAAGAACTGGAAAAATTCCCTTTGAAAACTGGCACAAGACAGGGATGCCCTCTCTCACCACTCCTATTCCAACATAGTGTTGGAAGTTCTGGCTAGGGCAATCAGGCAAGAGAAAGAAATCAAGGGATTCAGTTGGAAAAGAAAAGTCAAATTGTCCTGTTTGCAGGCGACATGATTGTATATTTGAGAGGCCCCCATTGTCATGGCCAAATATGCCCAGCGATAGCTAACAAAGTGCCAAATTTCAAAAATGCTTGTTTCCATCTAAAAGCATTACTTGCCACAAGTGACAGTCGCTCAAACCCCATCAGAAACTAAGCTTTTATTCTAAGCCTTCAAAACCATACACAAATCCAACTTACAAGGGATGCTGAGACCTCTTCAAGCAGAACTACAAACCACTGCTCAGTGAAATCAAAGAGGACACAAACAAATGGAAGAACATACCATGCTCATGGATAGGAAGAATCAATATCGTGAAAATGGCCATACTGCCCAAGGTAATTTTATAGGTCAATGCCATCCCCATCAAGCTACCAATGACTTTACTTCACAAGTGGAAAAAACTGCTTTAAAAGTTCATATGGGAACCAAAAAAACCCGCATCTCAAGACAATCCTAAGTCAAAAGAACAAAGCTGGAGGCATCACGCTACATGACTTCAAACTATACTACAAGGCTACAGTAACCAAAACAGCATGGTACTGGTACCAAAACAGAGATATAGACCAATGGAACAGAACAGAGTCCTCAGAAATAATACCACACATCTACAGCCATCTGATCTTTGACAAACCTGAGAGAGAAACAAGAAATGGGGAAAGGATTCCCTATTTAATAAATGGTGCTGGGAAAACTGGCTAGCCATAAGTGAAAGCACAAACTGGATCCTTTCCTTACTCATATACGAAAAATTAATTCAAGATGGATTAAAGACTTAAATGTTAGACCTAATACCATAAAAATCCTAGAGAAAACCTAGGTAGTACCATTCAGGACATAGGCATGGGCAAAGACTTCATGTCTAAAACACCAAAAGCAAAGGCAACAAAAGCCAAAATTGACAAATGGGATCTCATCAAACTAAAGAGCTTCTGCACAGCAAAAGAAACTACCATCAGAGTGAGCAGGCAACCTGCAGAATGGGAGAAAATTTTTAATCCTCTCATCTGACAAAGGGCTAATATCCAGAACCTACAAAGAACTCAAACAAATTTACAAGAAAAAAACAAACAACCCCATCCAAAAGTGGGCAAAGGATATGAACAGACATTTCTCAAAGAAGACATTCATACAGCCAACAGACACATGAAAAATGCTCATCATCACTGGCCATCAGAGAAATGCAAATCAAAACCACAATGAGATACCATCTCTCACACCAGTTAGAATGGCAATCATTAAAAAGTCAGGAAACAACAGGTGCTGGAGAGGATGTGGAGAAATAGGAACACTTTTACACTGTTGGTGGGATTGTAAACTAGTTCAACCATTATGGAAAACAGTATGGCGATTCCTCAAGGATCTAGAACTAGATGTACCATATGACCAGCCATCCCATTACTGGGTATATGCAAGGATTATAAATTATGCTGCTATAAGGACACATGCACACGAATGTTTATTGCAGCACTATTCACAATAGCAAAGACTTGGAATCAACCCAAATGTCCATCAGTGACAGATTGGATTAAGAAAATGTGGCACATATACACCCATGGAATACTATGCAGCCATAAAGGATGAGTTTGTGTCCTTTGTAGGGACATGGATGCAGCTGGAAACATCATTCTTAGCAAACTATCACAAGAACAGAAAACCAAACACCGCATGTTCTCACTCATAGGTGGGAACTGAACAATGGGAATCACTTGGACACAAAGGAAGGGAACATCACACACTGGGGCCTATCATGGGGAGGGAGGGATTGCATTGGGAGTTATACGATGTAAATGACGAGTTGATGGGTGCAGCACCAGCATGGCACAAGTATATACATATGTAGCAAACCTGCACGTTGTGCACATGTACCCTACAACTTGAAGTTTAATAATAATAAATAAATTAAAAAAAAAAAAATAAAGTGTAGAGACCTCAGACCAATGAGAGGGGTGTGAGGAATAAATAATGCCCAAGCCAGGCTTATAAAATTAGAACAAATTTTGGGAACTTCAGCGGGCAAAGGCAGAAGTAGCTGTTGACAAAAGAGAGTCTATAGTCTATAACACTAACTTGTTATTGGCCTTTTATACAATCATATGTGGGAGTGAATAGTGAAGTTTTTAGAGGTTACATTACACATAATGATATCTTTTTCCTGATGGCTAATGGAATAGGTGTCTTTGTATTCCTGTGTTTAAAATTTTTTGTATTAATTTCTAATACATTAAATATCAATAAATATATAAAAAAAAAAAAAGTCAAGATAGAGCAGTGATTGAAGACAGTTTAGAACAAAGAGATTTCCCGAATGGCATATGGGTATTCATATTATTTTAAATATTGCTCTAATTACACATACCACTTCATACCAAGAATGGTAACATTGTTTAATGCTTATTCTTAAATATTTTAGTACAGTTTCATTTTTATTATAAATAGGAACTTAATTGAATGGGAAATATGGTAATTTATCTATCAATTAGACATGCCTTTTGTAGGTCTCTCTATGTATTTCACAGTCTTATAACCAAGTCACAGTAACTCACCTAATGAAATTACATTTTATCTCCAAAGTACATACTAGGTTTTCATTCCAAAAATGTCAGAGTACTAACATAACAGATGCGATACCTGACAAGAGAAGCTCATTTCCCATGCCATTCTTTAAAGGGTATGTTAATACGCTGTGTCCAGGTTGCGGGGTAAACACAACACATGTTCTTCAGTGTTGATTGCAAATATCAGTTGAGTTCACTTCATTCTAATTTCCTTGATGTTTACCTAAGTAAGGTCTTTTATCATGAACTTCTAAAAAGACAACAATAAAATTAGTTTAAAATTTAAAAATGAATGTGAAAGAAAAACTTACACTCCTTCTACTACTCCATATAATAAAAGAAGGACAGTTTAGATAGACTTGGCATAACTTGTATGTGTGGTCCTCAAGTTAATATCAAGTATGCTTCGCCAGACGGTGAGTAGAATTTAGCAGCAAATACATGAAATGACAGACATCTCGCCTGCTTTTGAGGCTCATTTTGTAAAAATCCAGTGTGCTCTCTATAGGAATTTCCCATGGTGGTTCATGCCCTATTGCTCCATTATCATCCATGTGGGAATGTCGGTTTTGGTATTAGAGTCATCTAAAATAGCAAAGATAATTATCAGCGTTTTAGTTTACAATACTCCAAATTCAGTGTTTAAAATCCAGTATCATTTTCTCTACTATATAAATACTACCAATTGTATTTTAATTATTTTAGTTGCTTCTGTTCCCAATTGAATATTATACAGTGTATGTCATACAGACAGTTTAAGCAGATGGGTCTCAAGCTTGGCTGCCCTTTACCTGAGAAACTTGAAAAATTCTGGTGCCCAGGCCATAACCCACAGCAGTTAAGTCAGAATGTTTCTGAGCAAGAGTCAGGCATCAGTAGTTTTTAACACTCCTGAGTGACTCTAATATTCAACCAACTTGTAGAACCTGTGGATGAGGGGTTGTGATTCTCCATACATTTCCCTACATTCAGAATGTGTAGCTGTGGTGATAGGGTTTTCTTAATTTCCATAAATTTATATAGAAACCTCTCCCCTCATAGTCAAAACCTTTTTATTTTATTTTATTTTATTTTATTTTTCCTCAGCCCCTGATATACAGTAAATCAAATAAACACCTCCCTCTTCAGGACTCCATGTAGTTTCACAATAAATTGTTTCAATCTTTCACGTTCTCCAGCTTTGCAAACACAGCCCACAAAGTAAAGACTTGTAAATCAAGTGTTTGCTAAACAAGTTAATGTGATAGAAATATTGCAAGGTGCTTGGTATTTAATGATCTTAATTAAGACATTTAAGGACGCCATCATAGAGTGAACAACTTGTCTCTTACTTCTTGGGACTTCCTAGTTTTAGCAATGAGAGCCCTGAGTTCAGGGAATGCCCTCAGACTGGGCAATGAGAAACAGTTGGTCACCCTACCATGACATTGGCTGGTACAGTTAAAATGAAGCCCTGCCCATCATCAGTATAGCTCTGAATGAACTAGTGATGCATGCATCAACATTGCGACTCTCACAGCCACATACCAAGGCAAAGATGACAGACAGAAAAAAACAATTATGCTGAAAATTATTTGTTTGAATTTTCAAATCAAAACTAAACTATGGTGGAAAAATTATTAGAACATGGCTAATAATTTCCCCATATGGCTGCCTCTATGAAGTGATGAGTTTACTGAAGTGACATTTGGGAACTTTCTAGTATAATGAAAATGTTCTCAGTACTCATCCATTTTCATACTGCATGAAGAAATACCAGAGACTGGGTAATTTATAAAGAAAAAGAGGTTTAACTGTGAGTCTCTAAAAAAGACTCACAGTTCCACATGGCAGGGGAGGCCTCACAATCATGGCAGAAGGTGAAGGAGGAGCAAAGGCACCTCTTACACAGCAGAGGCAAAAGAGCATGTGCAGGGGAACTGGTCTTTATAAAACCATCAGATCTCATGAGGCTTATTCACTATTATGAGAACAGCATGGGAAAAATCAGCCCCCTTGATTCAATCACCTCCCACCGGTTCCCTCCCATGATATCACAGCACCACACATGGGGAGTACGGGAGCTACAATTCAAGATGAGATTTGGATGGGGACACAGCCAAACAATATCATTCTCTATCTTGATAGGTGTAGGGGTTACATGGATGTACCCGTTTATCAAAACTCATCAAACAGTACATTTGGGATTTGTTCACTTCAGTGTATGTAAATTTTATGATATCATAAAAATAAATACAAACTAAATTAAAATATTTATTTATTAATTAATCCAGCAAATTGTCATGTTTGCTAATTTGTTCTAAGTATGATTCTTTTAATTAAACTATGATAAGCTCCTTTGAGATTACTTTATCACAGTATAATACTGTGTGTGTGTGTGTGTGTGTGTGTGTGTGTTTGTGTGTTCCTTCTAGTAAACTGTGAGCTCCCCTGAAGGAGAATCTACATCATATTTGTAATCCCAATGGCTGGCAACTTGTATCTCTCAGATTATCCATTTAACATCTCTGTTTTATAAACAAGGCAGGACCTTGAGCCAGGTGCTTCTGTAAAGCTTGAATGAACAGAATGAAGCAGGAGGTGTCTGCGTGTGGCCATCGAACCTTCAGCATTTACATCATCTGGGCACTTGTTACAACTAAGTCTCTCCCCAGCAGTCAGAAACTCTGAGAGTAGGCCTCGCAATCTGTGTTTTGACAAGCCATCCAGATGATTCTAAGGCAAGCCTGAGTTTGCCCACTACTAACTACGGGATAAGGCAAAATCTTAATTCGGTAAGCTGGAATCTGCTGAAGTCTTCTGACATTTCAGATTGATTGAAAAAATGAATCTGGTAATTTCCCAGCACTGGAACTCAGTTCTGATGAGATGCAAATTCTGAACATTCAACATTTTTGCTGTACTGAAAAATATTCAAAATTTAAAATGAGTTGAAGAATAAAAGTGAGGCTATGTCTTCTAGAATCCAAGAGACCAGCTGGAGAGACATGACACAAACCTGTAAGACAGCAAAGTGGGAACTTAAGAAACTAGGGCCTTTTAGTAACACCAGCTATCCAGATGAGTAGCCTACCGGAATTTAAGGACGTAGGACAGGACCCAAACTTTGAAACATCTGGGGAAACCCATGCCAGTGGTGTAGAGGTGATCAAGGTCACATAAAGGAAGAGCTGTCTCTTTCCTTATTGCTCAAAAATGACACACAAAATAGGACCTTTTCTTCTCATCCCAGGCCAGATGCCACACTGAGCAGAAGGGCTTTCCTCTCCCTTGGTCATTGGAAGAAACGTGTAATTGGTAGTGTAACTGACTAAATCTCATTCTGGTGGGGGTACAGGAAAAGAGAGTGAGAAACGTAATTCCAAATGCAACGCATCACTTGATAGCCCTGTGTGGAGGAAGAGGAAGATAATTTTGGTCGAGAAGATGCCATTGAGGTGAGAATCGAGGAAAAGTAGATGGTATAGATCTTATTACATCTGCACAAGAGTATTTTCTTCCCAGTGATTTTAAACCATTAAATGGACAAACACTATTGTGTAATCTGATAATTATTTAACAACTAAATAAACAAAAACAAGAAAAACATAGTGACAACAGGAAACTGGAGCAGTATATAAGAGGCTGTGGCTCAAGGAGACTTCCAAACTCCAGAACCTCATTCTCCTGGAAACCTACCCAGAAACTCCGCCCTCTGACACCATGAACAACTCCTGTTGTGGCTCTGTCTGCTGTGACCAGAGCTGTGGTCAAGATCTCTGCCAGGAGAGCTGCTGCCGCCCCAGCTGCTGCCAGACCACCTGCTGCAGGACCACCTGCTGCCGCCCCAGCTGCTGTATCTCCAGCTGCTGCCAGCCCACCTGCTGCCGCCCCAGCTGCTGCATTTCCAGTTGCTGCAGGCCTTCCTGCTGTATCTCCAGCTGCTGCCAGCCCACCTGCTGCCGCCCCAGCTGCTGCATTTCCAGTTGCTGCAGGCCTTCCTGCTGTATCTCCAGCTGCTGCAGACCCAGTTGCTGCCAGACTTCCTGCTGCAGGACCACCTGCTGCCGCCCCAGCTGCTGTATCTCCAGCTGCTACAGGCCCCAGTGCTGTCAGTCTGTGTGCTGCCTGCCCACCTGCTGCCAGCCCTCCTGCTGCCAGCCCTCCTGCTGTATTTCCAGCTGCTGTAGACCCAACTGCTATGTGTCTGGCTGCTGCCGCCCTTCCTGCTGCCAGACCACCTGCTATAGAACAACCTGCTTCCGCCCCATCTGCTGTGGCAGTTCTTGCTGCTGAGTGACCTGCTCTGGATTTGTGCACCTTCTTTCCCCCATCCTTCAGTTCAGGCAGAAAGCGTCTATTCAGAGAACTTGGGGACTTCCTGATGTCATGAAAACAGAGGCATGGACTGATTTGAAAAAGCCGTCTCTTTATTAGTATTTATTCTCTTTTATAGAAACTTTTTAGTACTGTTGAATCTGAATTTACAGGCAAATTCCACATCACATGTTTTAGAATTCTTTATTCTAATTCAATATACATAAAACTTCAAATGTTACCCTTCTAGATGTTTCTTTCTAATGTTATTCTGTCGAATCAATTTTTATGTGGAATTGTTTGATGTTCTTCAATAAAACTTCATAGTGTTCAAAAGCACCAAAAATGCTTATCTCTTTTCATTTGTCATTAATACAATGGTATGTATTTCTGTCTCTTTTTCTGCACAACACAGGAGTACACGTTGTCAAACACCCTCATAATTAAAACAGTCAATTGGCATTCTCCAATGAGATTTTATCCAAGCCAGAATTCAGTAGAAACAGGAGAAGGATTTAAGAGACGTTTTTGAACCTAACACATATAGTATGAAAGCTGTGAATGTAACTGCCAGCACAAAAAATTGTTTTTAATAAACTACCTCCCATGATGTGATTTAAACTAATTTAAACAGAAGCAGCTCAGTGTAGAGTATATTCTGTGGACTTGAGAATTATGCAGAGTTGAGGCTGAATCCTGACTGTACTGCATACCAACTATGATCTCAGACATGGTATTTAAACTCTGTCAACCTAGGATTACTTTTCTCTTAAGAAAGGATCATAATAACTCAAAAACACGTGAAGGTAATCATAAAATATCAATGAGATAAAGATGCCTGATTGACAAATAAAAGCAGGCTCTCTTTTACTACCAATTAGCCTCTGTTGTATTTTTTTTTTTTTTTTTACTTTTTGTAAATAACTATAGATTTTGAAATAACTATAGGTTAACATGAAGTTGAATAAGACAAAGTTCCCTGTGCCCTTCACTCAGTTTCCCTCAGGGGTCACTTCTCATAGGACCATAGTACATGTCAAATCCCAAAATGTGACATTGGTTCTAAGTTCTAGGGATCTAGTAACTAGCATGGTGATTATAGTTAATAATACTGTATTGAGTACTTGAAATTTTCTGAAAAAGTAGATCTTAATTGTTCTCATTACACACACAGAAAATAGTAACTATGTTAGGTGATAGGTTACTAACTAACTTGGTTGTGATAATCAGCTCACAATTTATGCGTATCAAGGCATCATGTAGTACACTTGATATTTGTAAAATTTTATTTGCCAACTATACCTCAGCAAAGCTGGGGAAAACGAAAGTGCTAAAGTACTAGAAGAAATCATGAGAGATTTCTAACCGTAATGCAAACTTATATTAAGTAAAACACACACACTCACCTTACAAAGAAAAAAAACTCAATTAATGTAAATAAAAGTGATCTCCACTGAGTCATCAGTAGGCACCTGTCATCAGGGTTCCTCAAGCGTATGATTCTTTTCCCGTAATTCAAGGTCTCGAGGAAATCTTAGAGTTGTTCTCGTATACCATAAAGGGGCTCACCAGGGTTTTAACCCCGTAACAGCTTGGAACCTGCTTCTGTTCACTCTGACTGAGGAAAAAGGCTCAGGACCTCAATACGATGCTGCGTCTGGGTACATCAGAGCCAGTGCAGGCTCAGAACACCAGCCGGCGCTGAAGCAGGGGCCCACTCAGGAGCCAGATTGTTGTCCTGGTTGTGTAAGCCTGAAAATCAGGAACAGGGCAGCAGTAGAAACTGGTTAACGATATAACAACATCATATTCCATTTATTAGACTTACATGCACCTGAATGCAGGGAGGGAAGCTCAAAGTAATTTCATCCAATTTCCTCCATCTGGCTCTTGCACGTGGCTCAGTCAGCAACACCAGCTCACACTGGAACCCCTCCCCTGATTATCTCTAGAGGCAGCCCGTTTCATAAAGCACCTTCCTCATGGTGAGTCAGATTTTGTTTCTCCCTAGGAACATCCTATCTTCCCTATCCTGTATCAGCCCATGGCAGCCATTTGAGGAAGTCCATTCTCATACAGAGGCCCTTCAGGGTGAACTGCCTTTGCTTTGCTCCAGTTTTCTCCTTTTTAGGTTAAATTTCCAAAGCATTTCCATTTGTTCCTCACTGATCATAACGTCACCCTCAGAGCAACTTTGCTTTTCATAAACCCCAATTTATCTTTATCCTTCTAGCCTGGATTGAAATGCATTTTCCAGATGTGTTCCGAACTCTCTGGGAGGATTAGAAATGCCACATCTACATTAGTAAATGTCCCACTTTCGTGAATGTTTCAAGTTTGCATGCAGGAGTTAACAGCGTTAGTGGCAGTAAGTGGTTGGCCGTAAGTGTGAACTAATACTGAGGTTACTAGAGTGTGAAACACTTAAGTGGTCCTCATCATAAACTGCTTCAAGGTCTTCTTATACACATACAGTGGTTGTTTCTAGACAAGAAGTTCTCAACCTGTCTTTCCACCACATGCCTGGAGTAATAGGGCTCATAGTGGTGATCCAGGTTGAGTACCCCATATCTGAAATGCTTGGCACCAGACGTGTTTCAAATTTCAAGTTTTTTCAGAGTTGGAATATTTGCATTATACTTGTTGAGCATCCTTAATGCAAAACCCTGAAATCCTAAATGTTCTATTGGGCATTTTCTTTGAGCATCATATAGGAACTCAAAAAGTTTCATGTTTTGGAGCATTTCAGATTTCCGATTTTCACATCAGATGTCCTCAACGTGTAATATTTTATCTAGTGACAGTGTGCTAAGAGTGGACAAAACATTAGGGTGTGTGCATAGTTAAATAAATACTCCCAATAAATTAAGATATATTCACTCCTCCCGAATCTCGTTTGCCATGTGGCATTAATAACCACTATTTTGATCTACAGTTGGTTCTGATACTTCATCTTTTTAGGTTTGATTCCTTGTGAGAGTATTTCTGTTGTTTTGGAACCATGGTTCTGCCATTTGGTATATTCACTTTTTCTTTCCTTCACGGCCCCCAAATATTTTGATGAGCATGTTTTATGGAAAGAGCCTCAGCAGAGTTGAGGTGTCCATAGTATCCTCGGAGAGGCCAGTCCAGACAGAAATTGCTAACCAAGAGCATGCTAAAGTGGAGGGTGACATGTAATCAGAAGAATGTGGCACAAAGACAGGGAGTTTCTGCCTTCTTCCTTGGGTTTCCTTAACACCCAGGTTTGGGGGAGTGTGTGTCTGTGTGTGTGTGTGTGTGTGTGTGTGTGTGTATAATATTCCTAAGGTAAAGGGCCTTAGGAGATAAAGGTAAATACATATTCCTAAATAAATATAATAAAATAAAAGTAAATATATATTCCTAAATATGTTATTATATATATGATATATATTTATATATTACTAAATACAAACATATGAGGAATATGCATTATATATTCATAAATATATAAATATATATATTCCTATAATACCTATATATAAAGTACTATATATACACACGCATATATATTCCTAAGGTCCTTTGGGGGAATATATATATTCCCTCAAGCCTGTGTGTGTGTCTGTGTATATATATATATACTGATGTATATGTGCATGTGTGTATATATACACACACACACACACACCAAAAGAAAATTATGGGTCTAGAATAATTAAAATCACCCAAGGTCAGACATAATGTGTATGTGTGTATGTATATACATATATATATGTATATATATGTTTATATATATGTGTATGTATGTGTATGTAGGTATGTGTGTATATTTATATATAATATATAAGTATATATGTGTGTGTATATATAGATATAGATATAGATATAGATATAGATATAGCAAGGATACTAGGTCCTTTACCTTAGATTGGCAAGTAAACCTTAGCAATAAAGGAGATGACTCAATGTGACTGTTAAAGCCAGAGAGACAGGAAGGAAAAGTCAGAAGGAAAATCAGCCCCTCAGAGCAGAGAGCGGAGGGACCTGAACCTTTTAGTATAACTGATCTCTGTAGCCAATTTCTGCTAAAGGCCCTGCAACTGAGTTTTGGAGTGTTGTTTCTCAAGACAAAGAAGCATCAATAATTCATGACTTAGATGTCCACCTTAAAACAATTCTGCTTTCCCCATCAGAATGTCTAGAAAATGGGTCATGATTCATTGTATGGAAGGTGGCAAGGAATGCATCCTAATAGTATTTGTGTTTTCATGCCACTGGTCACCTGATTCACATTCAAACCTTCATTGCCCACTTGATTCATAACAAACATGCCATGAGATTAAAGCACAGCTTTCTCCTCCTGAATCACCAAAAGAAAATTATGGGCCTAGAAGAATTAAAATCACCCAAGGTCAGACATAATGTATTCAGGAAAATGAGGCTGCAGCGCATGGTACCTACAGGCAGATGTCACATGGCAGCTCAAGGAGGAAGCTACAGCAAGAGGCACACAAGAGGTTGTTCAAGAAGAGCTAACCTGAGGAATCCTAACACACCAGGGGAAGGAAATAATGCTTTCCTCCATGTTGACAAATTTAAGCAGAAAAACAAACTTGCCTAATTTGATAATTGCCTGCTTATCAGGACCAACAACAACAAGGAAAGAGTGCTGCATCTGATGACATCAGGCCTTAGCAGGGTATAAAAGAGGATCTGGGGCAAGGAGACTTCCAAACTTTCCAAACCCTCCTTTCTGGAAACCCACCCAGAACCTCCACCCTCTGACACCATGGTCAGCTCCTGTTGTGGTTCTGTGTGCTCTGACCAGGGCTGTGGCCTAGAGAACTGCTGCCGTCCCAGCTGCTGCCGCCCCAGCTGCTGCCAGACCACCTGCTGCAGGACCACCTGCTGCCGCCCCAGCTGCTGTGTGTCCAGCTGCTGCAGACCCCAGTGCTGCCAGACTACCTGCTGTAGGACCACCTGCTGCCGCCCCAGCTGCTGCAGGCCCCAGTGCTGCCAGTCTGTGTGCTGCCAGCCCACCTGCTGCCGCCCCAGCTGCTGTGTGTCCAGCTGCTGCAGACCCCAGTGCTGCCAGACCACCTGCTGTAGGACCACCTGCTGCCGCCCCAGCTGCTGTGTGTCCAGCTGCTGCAGGCCCCAGTGCTGCCAGTCTGTGTGCTGCCAGCCCACCTGCTGCCGCCCCAACTGCTGTGTATCCAGCTGCTGCAGACCCCAGTGCTGCCAGACTACCTGCTGCAGGACCACCTGCTGCCGCCCCAGCTGCTGTGTGTCCAGCTGCTACGGGTCACCGTGTGGCCAGTCTCTGTGCTGCTAGCCCATCTTCTGGCAAACAATCTGCTGCAGGACCACCTGCTGCCACCCTAGCTGTTGCATTTCCAGCTACTGCCATCCTTCCTGCAGTATCTCCAGCAGCAGTAGCTCCTCCTCCTGTGGCTTCAGCTGCTTCAGGCCCTCCTGCTGCATCTCCAGTTGCTGCCACCCCAGCTGCTGCCAGACCACCTGCTGCAGAACTCAATGTTTTCAACCCAATTGCTGTGTGTCCAGTTGCTGCCGTCCCAACTGCTGCCAGACCACGTGCTGCTGACCAACCTGCTGTAGTGCTTCTTGCTGCCGAGACTCTCATCTGGACTCACCCGATTCTCATCAACCAGCATTCTTGATGTAGCTCATCTATGAGCTGAGTCATGGGAAGCTAGTTGGAAAACTTCAGTTCCAACTAATTCTTAGATTGAATCTGGCCTCCAAATATATGCTCCCCCCACATTTTACCTCTCTACCAAATGAACATGGGTTGTAATTTGTTCCAAAATCTGTCAACTATCTTAATTGAAATATTTGCTCTCTGCCATAATTTCTCATATGGAGCTACTCCATTTTAAACAAATATTTACCTAAATAAATATTAAATAAATTTTCAGGCATAGAAATATACAGATACTGTGTCTCATTATTTTTCTTTTTTGGGTGTGGTCATTACCAGTCATTTTTCTGTTGTTCTTCTCTGCAGAGGAGAAGACCACAGCACGTAATTTCAGGGGCACCACCTCTATTTCCTCAGCACACTTTATTCTAATATGCAATGGTGGTTTCTTAGAGCAAGCAACTGGAACTCTCTTCTTGAAGAGTTTCTCTAGCCAAGGGGCAAGCTCTGGACTGTAGAGTTAAAGCCTCTCGGAACAGCACTCAACAAATGAGTAGGGGTTGGTGAACACATACTTTAGTTATTTCTCCTCCAGTTCGGAGCATGTTGTACCAGCCTGTCAGAAGTCCTCAGAGACACCAAATTCCAGCTGCCTACAGGGCTATTCTGATCATTAACTCATCTTGTATTCACTTCCCTCCCTTTCCTGGAGCATTTTTTGTGTTCCATACAGCACTTCTTGGGACCACCTCCCAAATATACTCCTGGGTCTGCTCCAGTGGGTACCCAATCTAAGACACCAGTGTTCCTAACCTCAGTATTAGTGCCCTTCAAAACATTTTTCCTTTTTTATTGATATATAATAGATGCACATATAAAATTCTGATATATCCATATAACGTGTAAAGATCCAATCAGGGTAATTGGATTATCCACCACAATGTATCTTTTCTTTATGCTAGGAACATCTGAATTATTCTTTTGTAGCTACTTTGAAATGTTTAATAGATTATTGTTAACTATAGTCATCCTACAGTTATATTGAATACTAGGTCATATTTTTCTCTCTAACTTATATTTGTATCCATTAATCAACCTCTTCATTTTTCACAGGCACCCTCTTCTGATTCTGATAACCAGCAAACTATTATTTATCTTCATGAGTTCCATTCCAGTAGCAATTTGTCTTTCTGTGCTTGGCCTATTTCACATAACATAATTAAATCATTGTTATACAATATCAGTGGTTACCCTGGTGTCATGGTCAACTCTTGAGTGTACTGTCTACTAAATAGGTAAATGTTCTAAATCTTCTTCTTCTTCTTCTTCTTCTTCTTCTTCTTCTTCTTCTTCTTCTTCTTCTTCTTCTTCTTCTTCT